GATAAAAAGTGTTTGTGTACTTGAGATTAATTCCATTGACTCCATTTTTATTCTCTCATTTGTTGGATTTATGGGACAATATTTAAAATGACTGCCAGAATACCCATTTTGCCCTATRATTTTGTTTTTAGTCAACACAAGGCCACGGTGTCTAAGCCCATGTTTTCAAGTATGAAGGATCCAGTGGTGAGCATCAAAATTCATTGTAGGTGGCGACCATCTTGGATTTTCAAATACCCTTTTGGCCTCCATTCCAAGTGGATAAAATATATTACATAACTGTTGTACAGTGGTACACTGGTGCCTGAAAGTTTGTGAATGCTTAACAAATTTCCATGTTGTCGCGTAAATATAAAGTAAGAAATCATCAGATTGCCCATAAATTATACAGAAAAAGATCAGTCATGAGGCATAGTGCCTACTCAAGATAGAATGAGTTTTTGCTAACAATGCCTTTGTTTCACCACATAAAGCTAAGCCATCTAAGCTCATATAAAGCTTAGAYGGGTGAAGAATAACAGTTGTAGCTCAGTCTGTCTTATCTCACCTGCTGAAGCCTGTAACTCCTTCAGTGTGGTCTCAAGTGCTTTGGTGGTCTCTCACTATTCTCCTTCTTACTCAGTCACTCAGTTTTTGAGGACGACCTACTCCTGGTAGATTAATACATGTTCTCATATTCCTTCCATTTTTTGGATTATGGATTTAACAGAAGTCCTGAGGATGATTAGGTCCATAAATGATTATACTTTTTAATAATCTTTGAGTTTAATTAGTACAGTTGCATCAAAGAGTAACTAAMCCCCAAATTAACTTTTATTTTTGCAGATGAACTGTCAAAATTGGGCATTAAGGGTATAATCTTTTAAATTTCTGTGCAAATTTTGACTTTTTTGTGTAAATTCATTTATTTCTGCAAAATTTGGTCTAAGTCCGTTTCGGTGTTGCCCTCTATGGGTCAAACAGTGGCTACTAGTTGAATTTTTCTAATACTTAAAGTGCAACTTACCCCAAAATCAACATTTTTTAACAAATAAACTGTCCAAATTGTGTCTTAAGGGTAATACCTTGCTATTTTTGMCCTAAATTTAACATTTTCATCTAAAATAGTTTAAATCATCAATATTTGGTCAAAAACGGCTTGGTGCTGCCATCTAGGGGTTTAAAAAAGACGACCACGTGTGAAGTACCTTGTGACGTGCTGTGCTCAGTATAAAAGGCTCTCTGCAGAGACACGCCCTGCAGAGATTCAGGAGTTAGCCATAGCATTGTTGATGGTATCTGTGGTAGAAGCTGCCTTCTCCTCAGCCACAGTGAAAACATGGAGTCT